GCGAGGGGGGCAGAGCGAGCGTGCGTGCGTGCGAGGGGGGCAGAGCGAGCGTGTCCTGTGGCGAAGGGGAGTATAGACAGGGAGGGACAGACCCCAGCTCCCCTGCAACTCTGAACTGTATGGGATGACAATGGACGGAAGGGCCACGATCAGGACAGCACGTGGCAGCAGTGGCTCTGGCGCCGGAGAGGCCCATACTCACAGGGGGGAGCGGGTCCGGCTGGGTTCCGGCCGGGCGATCTTCACCGTCACGGGGCTGCGCGCCGCCGGGGAGTTGCGTGGCGTCAGGACGTTCTTCCTGCGGCAGCCGTCCCACTGCACGGGGGGCAGCGGCCCCAGCGAGGGGCAGCCCGGCTGCTGAAGGGGGTAGTGCCGCTGGGGGGTGATGCTGAAGCGGCCCGCCGCGCCCAGGCTGTCCCTGCAGCACACAGAGCGACAGACCGTCACCGGACCGCACGCAGCTCGCACCTCCCGCCAGCGTCTGCGTCCGGCCCGTCCGGGTCAGCCCACTTCCTGTCCGGTCGCGGAGCCCCCCCCCTGGGGCTCCAGCTGCCCAAACATCTCGGGGCACTTCATCTCCAGCCCTGCTGCACCAAGCCGGCCCGGTCCGACAGCCGAGCCCCCCCGGAGAGGCCGGACCGCGGCGAAGCAGCAACTCCCACATTTTCAAATCTTGGAGGGAAACCCCGCCGCTGGCTTTAAACAGAGGCGAACAGACCGGCGCTGTAGCACTTAGGAACAAACCCGATTTATTTTAATCACAGCGCCGTCTCACTCTCCGCAGTAGCAAAGCACAGAGGTTGAGCCGCTTCGCCCGGCTGGGTCTTACCCGAATGACAGTCTCCTGTTGGGGGTGTGCACGGCATGGTTGGGCCGAGCCAGCCTCTCCCGGAGCTCCCTGCTCGCCCCGCCGGCTCCGGGGCTGTCCGCCTTACTGAGGTAGCTCCCCATCAGCAGGTCCCGGGGGCTGAACACAAACGAGCCGTTGCCGCCGCCTTCTGCCTCCTTCTGAAAAGCGCCCCGGACCTCCCAGCGCCGCTCGCCTCTGGGCGCCGCCGAATCCCCAAGCTCGCCTTTGCCGGGGCGGCCCTGGTGGCCCCGGGAGCTGACCCGGCCCGCCGAGGGCACGCCGTTCGCGGTCTTGCCCGGCAACCAGCGTCTGAGCGCCGGCGGGATGGCCAGGGCAGGCCGAGGCTGAGGGCCGAGCCTGGTGTGTTGGGACGGGCCGCCGGCGTGGCAGAAGCAGGCGACAGTGCACACTCCAAGGATGAACAAGACGTAAAGGAAAGTCGGTATGTAATAAAGAGCGAAGCAGAAAATCGCGACAGCCAGGAGCGCCACAGAGATCAGCGCGATCCGCCGCTTCTCTCTGGGAGACATGGCGGCAGCGCGCCGCCGGAGGACTTTAATATCCCATAATCCTGCCGGGCGCGGGGCGCGCGGGGGGGCCGGTCTCGCTCGGCGGGCAGGAGAGGCGCCGGGAGCCGGCCTGTGCCCGGTCAGGGGCTGACCTCTGTCCACAGTCACCTAAACCGACGAAGCGGGTTTGCACGTCGGCCGATTCACCGTCAAGTCGGTTATTTATATTGTGATTCCTCTTGAACTTTTACCGCAGCACCATAGAAAGTGTTTTCATGTGTTCTCACTGCGTGGTGCAGCAGTACTACCACGCATGACAGATGCACTACAAAGCATTGTGGCAACAGCACGATTGTAGGATGCAATTTCCCTGATTAGAATTATAACTTTCAAGAGAATCAGGTGTGATCAGGGTGAAACTCATATTTTATGCCAGCAGTGACGAGGACACTCGAGTGTAAAAAGACCCCGACCATCGGATGAGACGTAAAACCGAGGTCCTGACTGTGGTCATTAAAAATCCCAGGGCGTTTCTCGAAAAGATTAGGGGTGTTACCCCAGTGTCCTGGCCAAATTTCCCATTGGCCCTTACCAATCCTCCTAATTATCCCCATCTCTGAACTGGCTCCATCACTGTGCTCTCCTCCTCACTGAGAGCTGGTGTGTGGGGAGAGTACTGGCGCATCATCCAGGTGGGGCTGCACACTGGTGGGGGTAGAGGGGATCCCCATTACCTGTAAAGTGGAGTGTCAGGAAAAGCGTTTACAAACACACAAAAAAACATGTAACCTTACTTCCAAAGGGAAACTTTTTACCCGGGAATTACCAGGATACTGCCTAACTTTATCATGCATATCCCACATTTCTGTCAGTCGATTGAGATAAGTTAAATTTACAGCCTCAGAAAATGTGAATTTCATTTCTTCTCATTGAGAGAGATCTGGGTCCAGATAGTACACTGGTTTGATGCAGAACTATTCTGTTTGCTGGACCACAGCAAACCTGAGAACTGTTATGTGGACTTTAGTCTGCCTTTATACTGTAAGGAGCAGTGAGTTGCAGTTTCACAGACCAGGATTTAGCACTAATCTGGGATGATTACATGTTAATTGAAGTAAGCAGGCCCCCTACTAGTGCTCATGGGGCCAAAGCATGGCCTGAGAGCTATGTTAAAGGAGCTTAACACATTGAAATACTGCAGTACGGTGCTCTCTCACTGGGCTGTGATCTAACACAGACACTGATTTATTATGGCTGGAGGGGAGGCAGCAGATAGCACTGTCTCACTTTCTCTCCTTCGGGCCCTGGGACGCAGCCAGGAGTATGACTGGAAATGGGAGATTAATTACTGGCAGAAGTGTTTTTGAGCAAAAAGGATCAAATTCACTAGCAGCACATTCACATCCACGGGACTCCAATTTAAACGTTTGCTGTAGAAATCCTAAGCAGTTCAACTCGCCTTAATTGCAATGCTCTTACGTTTTCTTAATTCAGAAGGAGAATCTGCGTTCCAGACAAAAACAAACTTTAACAGTATCCATGTTTTCCTTACTCTGCACTGTATTTTGACAAATCATTCTCATTGAACTGGGTTGTATAGTGGCTCAGTGACATGGACAGCTGTCCTCTAATGGGACAATAAAACGTTCCCTTCTTCCTTCAACGTGCTAGAGAGAAGTGCGAGTGTGGGCACTGGGAACTCCCATAACTTCACCTACAAGACAGTCCTGAAAAATGAAACTCTTAGGACTTGGGGAGCCATATCCTCTGGGACTCCTGTACATACCCTGAATGCTTGTAATGGGCAAACAATCCTTCTGGGTTCAGTGTTTGAAGGTTTTTGTTCTGTAATCCCGCAGGATTTCCAGAGCTCTCGTGCGGGACCTTTCACAGGCCTGCTGCAGAACGACGGTGCTGAAATGATTGTTCTGTCCCGAGGGGAGGAAAAGGTTCCATCTACTGAAGAGCCCTAGATGTGCTTTTGTGAGGACAAAAAGGTTTTGTTTGTCAAAAGGCTTTTTTTGCGCTGGAGGCTGGAGTGGGCAGTTGAACGTGTAGAAGATGACTCCACTCTGGAAAAGTGAAAGACGGATAAACAGAACGTTTCCTCTGCTTTATTGTGCAAGGAGACGCACTTTGGTTCACCTGTAAGAAGTAAAGCCGTACAGTAGTACACCCCGGTGAAGCACGGTGTGAACAGTGCGAGGCACAGAGGTACGGTCAAGCACAATGCAGGCTGGGGGGCCACCACAGGGCTACACTAAAGCCCAGTGTGAAGGGGGCTGAAGGACCAGGAGAGCAGTGGACACTCACAGGGTGGGGTGGGGGTGGAGTCGGAGCAGGTGCTGGGATTCCGGGATTCCTGGGTGGGGGGGCGTGTGGACGGCTGTGGGCCCGTGGCCAGCCGCCAGGAGGGAGGGAGGATGTGAGAGGCTCTCTGTCAGCCAGCTGTGAAATTCTGAGGGGACACCTCACTTCCTCAGCCGGCCGCTTCCCCTGAGCGCGCCCTGTCTCTGCCCCGCGACCTCGCACTGTCCACCCCTCCTTCGTCCTCTCGCCATCTCCCCAAAGGCCAACGGACACACCTCCCGCGCTCCCCGCTAGGACTCCGGGGTGAGTTCAGTCCAGGACCCGGCCGGCTCAGGCGCCGTCCAGGACCAGTCCAGGACCCGCCAGGTTCAGTCCCAGAAAGCAGCGCCTTCCTGGGCCACTCTAGACAAATACAAGAGGAAACTTTTACAGACCATAGAAAAGGGGGAAAAAACTGAAAAGGCAAAAAGTGCCGCAAGCGCAAGTAGAAAAAAAAACTTGGAACGGAAATGAAAGTTTCACAACTGATGCAAAACTGTTTGACAGCGACCTGATTCATAAAACATGGTTATATACACAGTACAGAATCCTGCAAAAAAGTCTCAAGTGGATTCTGGAATGAGCTCCGGAGCATACCGTGCGACTATTTTTAACTGTCTCCATCAGTGTCCTTCCCTCGCCCGACCAGGAAACGCAATCAGGACGGATAGCATTTCAATTTAAAGATCACCCTCACCGTTGCGAGATCAGCGATGCTTAAGATGACGCAGCGAACAGGAATATGCTCGGTACAATAAAGACTGGGTCGTGTTTGGGTGACTCCGCCGAGAGCCGTGTTGGGTATTGAACTGAGTGATGTGCTGGTGCCGCCAGGGGGTGTGTCGGGACACAGGCCCGTGTCCAGCGTGTCAGACTGACAGTGCCTCCGGTCTCGGTAACGGACCCGCGTCTACAGCCGGTACACAAACTCTGGCAATGTAAACAAAGTCATGGATAAGGGCGTGACAACAACGCGCCACGCCATTAGGGAGCAGTTTTCCCCTACTGGAAACCTACCGAAACGTACAGAGAATCCCACATTTTATCTAAAATACTTATAGAACATTCTGCACAATTTGGGGATGTTATTGAGTAGAGCTCTTACTAACCTAAGACTGCAATGAGACATGGTTCCCCAATGTTTTTTTTTCCCCCAGACGCAAGTGACTAACTGGTTCAACAACCAATCAGGTAAAAGATTTGAGCTCTGGAAGGCGGGGTAGCTGGGTGATTGATGTGGAAATTGACCAATTGGACGTCAGGAACAACGGGTGTCGTAAAAGGGGGAGGGGGGTTCTGGGCGGGACTATAGCGATGGACATTCCGATCATCCCAGAGGCGGGGCTAAACTAAGATTGACGCCGAGACCGCCCAAGAAGAAGCCGGAAATACGAGCAATGGGTGGGCCACTGTATTAAACTAGCCAATCACATCGCCAGGTTTTCAGTGTGGGCGGGGCCTGCGCCGGGTGCGCCTCGGCGAGCTGGGGGTGTTCGGCAGGCAGGCTGGAAGGCAGCTCCCGGGGCGGAGAGTTGTGAACTACAGAGTGGCGAAGAAACTTCGTCGGGGCGCTTGGACTTTCCCTCACTGCCTGGTCGTGCTATTCTAAAACAGCACTCCGTCCTCGCCGCCCGCCGCGATGGACCGGGTGAAGAGCTCCATACAGCAGGTCCCCAACCCCATCCCCAAGGTGCTGAGCCGCCGGGCGGGCGCCAGCAGCCTGGACGCGGAGCGGGAGAGCTTCGAGCGCAGCCAGGTAGGAGCGGCGCCCGGGGGGCTTGCGGTCCTCCGTGTAACGGGTCCTGAGGAAAAGGCAGGGCAGCCTCCTGCGAGGGCCGGCAGGTTCCCAGCGCGATTTCCCAGCCGTCCCAGTCCCAACCGGGGAAAGGCGGCGCGGCGGGCGTCCGCGAGCGGGTCTCGAGCCGGTCTCGAGCGGCTCTCGCGGGGCACGAGCCGGGGAGTGACGTAGCGGGGCCCCCCCGCCCCCCCCGGCTCTGCCCCTCCGGCCCTGCCCCTCCGGCCCGGCGTCGTGCTCTGCCGCGCCTCGGACCGGCGTGGAAATTCAGGTGACCCCGCCTGCCACTCGCGAAAGCGGTCCTGGGGGAGCGGGCGCGTCTGGGCAGAGCCCTCGGTTCGGACCAATACGGCTTGATTTTGTCGAAACTCGCCTCAAGTGACCGTGTGAGAACGGGCCGTCGCCTTTCCTCGGCTGCTGTCAGTGCCGATATCTGTTCCTGACGACTTCTAACCTGTTCTTGTGAGATCCGTCAGCTGGCCGTAGCGATTAGCTGTCAGAGCGGCTTGAAGGGCTGATTTACAAGTAAGCACACGGACCGGGATGTTGGCGAGTTAGTTATTCACGATCCCTGGGCTTTATAAGTGAGCTGCTGGCTTTAGAAGCCACAGTGTGCACAGTGCAGGTGATTGAATGGTTGTGTTTGGGTTTAATAGGAGAAAAGGGAACCGTTTATCTGGCATCCCTGATATGAAGGGATTGCAGAAGGGTGTTGCCTGACTGGTGCTGAAAGTCTGTGGGCGCTTGTCTGGGGGCGAGGGGGTGATCAGGGGTTGGGCCAGCTGTGTGTGTGAGAGGGTGAAGGGGCACTGTGGCCCAGACGGGTCCCTGGAGCTGCGCACGTAAATTTGAGCCGAGAGCAGAAGGGCTGGAATATCACCAGATGTGTCCTCATCCCCTTATCTGCCTTCAGAACTGTGGCTTTGGCAGGAGTTGAGGTAAACTGGTACTCTGTAACTCTGCTGAACCTGTGCTGTTGCTCTTGTGCTGCAGGGGCTCCAGTGTGCTGTAAAGTGTCAGGTTTGGAGGCCGTTTGCTGGGGAGTAATCTCTCCGAGTGAAGCTGGGGGAGAGAGAGAGTCAGGCTGCCTCCTCAGCAGCTGCAGGATGTTGCTGGCTGGCCCCCCGGAGGCGGTGGTCGGGGTGCACGCGCTTTGCGCCTCGTTTTTCTGGCGAGCCGCGGCCTGCTGGAGGGGCTGTTTCGGAGCTTTAGCCCTCTGACCCCCCCCCTCCTGCCCCTCTGACAGCAGGCGCTCGTCCTGAAGAGGGCGCTGCTGAGGCCTGGGGCACGTGGAGTGCAATCCCAGGAGGGCCAGGGCGTGAGAGTCTGGCCTTGCAGCCGGGAGCACCCTCAAATTAATCTGTGTAATCTCGCGCATTTGTCA